CTTCCTTCCTTCCTTCCTTCCTTCCTTCCTTCCTTCCTTCCTTCCTTCCTCCCCCCTCCCTGACAAAACTGCCCCTTGACAGCAAAACCAAGCAGATGGGATTTTCCCATCCCCCCCCATTCATATTTAATTTAAAAGCTGCAATGGAAAGAACTCCAATAGAAAAATGAAGAGGGGGGAAAAAGAAGCCAGACGGATGCAAAGCCCCCTCTTCCCTTCTCCGGCACTTAATCAGCTCGCCAATAGATTAGGGAAGAATCCCCTTGCTGCCTATCCCAGCCAGCTCCTCTCCAACCATCCTGGACTCCAGAACCCATTATCCCAGCCCTGTCGGCCTGGGAGGATGGGATCTGCAGCCCCGCATGCCTGAAAGGCACCAGGTTGCTGTCGGAAGTGGCAAGGGGAGGGAGCTGCATTTCCCATCCTCTGATGACACCCCCTTTCCCGAGAATAAACACTTGGACGGTGGAAAGAGATCAGGCCAGAAGCAACCGAACTTTTTGGTGATTCCACAGCCCTCCTTCCCCTCTACCCATTGGATGCCCAGGCCTTTCTCGGGTGCCAGAGTGGCTGATCCGGCTGTCAGTGATTCCCCGCTTCTCCTCCTCTTTCTCCTCCCCTCCTTCCAAGCTTGGTGGGCTCGTAAAGTAAATACCTATGGCCATCTGCGTGTCCCCTCCGGCATCTATATTTAACTCGCTGATCAGCGTTTTGGGCAGCTTGTCAACCTCATGACTTTTGAGGAGGGGCACGCAAAGGCTACCCTGGGCTTAAGGAGGGAGAACAGCCCGGGGGTGGGGTGGGGGGTCGCTCTGCCATTTGCCTTCCACCGCTGAATTCTTCCTTTTCCCTCTAGAAACAACGTGCCACCATGCCGGCCGTTCCAAACCGGGCCAGGGCCCGGGAGAGGAACAATGTCTTGAACCGAGCTGAGTTTCTCTCCCTCAACCAGCCCTTGAAAAGTGCCCAGGAATCTCGGAGTTTCAGGAGGGCGAACAGCCAAGGGGGCCCTGCCCCGGTCCAGAGCGAGGGGGCCAAGGAGCCGCGCCAGCCTCAGCAGCTGCCCGAAGAAGACTGTATGCAGCTGAACCCCACTTTCAAAGGCATCGCCTACAACTCCTTGCTGGCCATTGACATCTCCCTCTCCAAACGGCTCGGGGTGTGTGCCAGCAATGCCGCGGCGTGGGGCAATGCCCGCTCCATGATCAACCTCATTGGCATCACCGGGCATGGCATTCCCTGGATCGGGGGCACGCTCATCTGCTTGGTCAAAAGCAGCACCCTAGCTGGCCAAGAAGTCCTCCTGAACTTGCTTTTGGGTGAGTAATTTTAGCCTCACTTTCCAGCTGACTTTCAAGTCCTGCATCTTCCCCCTCTTGCCCGCTCTGAACATCCTCAGTTCCACAATCCTCATTGTTTTCCTATTTATCCTATTTATACAATGAGTTTTCCTATACAATAAGATTCCATAATCCTCATTGTCCACACACCTATTTTCTTACTCCCCTGTTCGCCCCACCTTAGGCCCCCGGTTGCATTGTTTTTTTCAGACTCAGTCCTTCATCTGCAAAATGGGTATAATAATCATCAATGGCACCCAGTTTGTTTGTAGACAGGGTCAAACAGAATCCTTGGGAGTTCTCTAGCAGCAGAGATCCCTAGCAGAACCAGAGGCAAGCAAAGATTTAAATCGGTCGGCCCCTGTAGTTCAGTTCAGGGCTGGATGAACAAATCCTCAGGGAACGCAAGTCTGTGTTGAACAAAGTTGTGTTAGTCTCCCACCATCTGGTGTCTTCCTGATGGGTTAATCACAGGACTCATCATGCAAGGTAGGCCTGGCTGTGGAGGACTGAGACGATGGTCTAATGCAGGTGGGAGAGCATTGGTTTACGCACAATTCACAGCCACAAGAAGCTGAGGTTTCGGGTTTTTTAAGGAAAAGTTGGTTGGGATAGCTATGTAGAACCTCCATGTTCAGGGATGGTATATTGGGAAGTCAGAAAGGCATTCCACTTTCTTGTTGTGCCAAGGAAAGTCCCTGGATGTATCCACTGTGCTCGCAGGGGGTTGAGTTCAACTCAGAGATGACTTTACATTGAGTTTCTTCCCTGGCATATCAAATCAAATGAAGTTGAGATGATGAGAAAAGTCTGGGTCCATCTCATGGAAGAAAGACCATCCTAGGATCGTAGAGAGATTTGATACAGCTAGCTGGATTTTAATCCTAGCTCTGTTCCTTTTCTTCTTGGCTCCATCAAAGAAAGCCATTCCTGAAGAACGGGGAGCAATTTGAAGACCTCACCGTGTCCCCGCTAACTTAGCTCCTCAAGGATGATCTGAAGACCTTCCCCTTCTCTTAGGCAGTCATCAGTCATACCCACTGTATGTAAAGGTGGGATTCACACACCCCTTACCTTCATAAGAACGGACCTTAAGATCTTGTGGAAAGCCATGGAGATGGCCTTGAAGGGGATATTCAGAAGCCCTTACAGAAATAAGGGCAGAAGCGTTCCTTGAGCCAGGAGAAAGGAGGTAGTGTTAGGAAGAGGCCCACAAGCACACTTGCAAGGTTGATATCAGCCCTACAAGGAAGACCAAATTATGAAAAGGAGCCCACCGGAAGGCTATAACTACACTGTATTGAGCTAGGCTATAGTAACAGAATCTTCCAAGCATGATTGTGTTGTACCTTCCCTCCCTCCTATACCCCACTGAATCAGGGAGGAACCAACCTGGGCCTCTTCCTAACACTACCTCCATTCCCCTGGCTTAAGGAATGCTTCTGCTCTTATTTCTATAAGGACTTCTGAATATTCATCTCTATGGTTCTCTACAGATCATCTGTGGTTTCCAGCACAACTGTCTGGTTTCAACTCAGGCTGAATGTTAAAATGAAAGTTTTGGACTTTCAGCTTGTGGGGAAGACTAACATCTCATGGGAGAGCTCAGAATCGTAGGAGGAAGAAGCCAACTTTGGGCTTGGGTTGTTGAGTTTTCACTGTTAGATCCACCCACCATTTTTCTTCTTTGGGATTTGAACGTAGCAGACCCGACAGTGTGATGGAAGACATGAGCGAGGAGGTCCAAGGTCATAGGGAGGGGGAGAGGAATTCCAAGCATCTCCTCAGCCCTC